CATCAATCAACAGTCAGATCCATATGGGTTCCCGTCTCATTACATTCCCCTCGTTATCAAAATGTACATATTGCCCTCTCGTTCCAGCAGCCATGTCACCAACAACACTTCATGTACTGAGCTTCATGACCGGCTCTTCATGACTGGTCTTGAGAAGGGATTTGATGATAGTATCGTTTTCCACGCGACGGCGTCCGGGGTCAGGACAGGAAAGTAGTTTGTAACATGGAGGTTGTTAGGGCGTTTGTTTGCTCTCGCAGGACAGGTGGAATTTTAAAATTAAACTGGTGAGTACTGACCACTATGTCGTCCGATGGTGGAGTTGTTGGACGGCATTTTGGAGCAAACTAGCTCGTGTATCAGTGTTGAGTATTGCACAGGGACTATTATCCAGGCTTAGCTGCCTAATGTCAACAACAGTAAGAAGAGACACACAAACCCTTTTAACGCAAAGAACAGTTGTTCCAGCAGTGATGAACATCATCACTCGAGCAATTGTCGATTCCATGTATGACACTCAGTGATAACACACCCGTATCCACTACCAGCGTTCTCCATGAGTTTGGCGCCTTGCCAACGACGATCAGCAACTTAGCAGCAAGGCTTCGGTGCCGCTCCAACTAGTCCACAACCACAGTTGAGCAGCTCTGCCACATCTTCGGGCGCATCCAGAGCTGTGCAAGACTGTGTGTACCCAGGTTACTTCCGAAGTATGAACGGAGCCAGCTCCCGAAACGATCTGGGCAATTGGAGCTTACAGAAGGGCAAGTAGCCTGATCTCGTTGTTCTCACGGGTGTTGTTTGAACGAGAAACGTTGGTCTAAGTTCCTACTGACCGGAACAGTGAGACTAAGACACGTCCGGTTAGGTTTAGGTAGTCTAGGACACCTTATCTCGAGCTGGTCCAAGAGTCTAAGACCATGATCAGGGTCGCAAGCTCAAGCATCGGATATATTGAAGCCTTGTGCCCTGGGGCTTTCATCCTCCGATTGACAAGAAGCCGTCATCTCCTCGTCAGCCTAGCGTTATTCCGCCCTTCCTACGCTAAAGTTTCTATCATCATGAACCAGACCTTCGATACTACAGCGCCTACGGACGACCGTCGTCAGGGTCACTGTAGACTCTATGTCATCACCGCTAGTAGACCTTCCATCACAACCAGAAAGTGCCCACGTTAAATACTCAGAAAAAATCGCAGTAGGGGCGACCGGGTTCCAACCTCTTCTATACAACGGCCTGAAGAAATCCGAGAAAAAAAGACGGCAATGGGCTATTCCGGAGGTTTCACTGAAGCCGTCTTTACTAAAGCTGCCCAACTTGCCCAAAGAATCTATCTTCACTTACTTCCAAGAGGAAACTGAGAAGAAAGACGGTGCGAGCTGTGTATTCTTGCTATGGGGTTCTAAAAACTCTGAAAGCTTCAGAACCTGGGCTGTGGATATTCCAATTACCGACGTTGAAAATGAGTATGAAATCTTCGATTCATTGAAAAAGAAGTAGAATGAAGAACTTGGCCTCTTAAGAAGGTGCCTTTCCTTCCGAAAATTCAGTAGAATCAAGCCCGTCACTGTATGTTCCCACGGTCTCATAGCGTGTCTACCTGCACTAAAATTTAAATATAGTTCCGATTAATCTGCTGTGATTCAAAAAGATTCTTAGCTTTCGTTGAACCTTTAGACCTGGACAACTTGCACAAGAGCTACTCTGAGCAACGGGAGGAAGTGGCAAAAATCATTGAATCAATAACAGACTTCAATTCAACCGATTTTCCGGATTACTGCTATCGCGACAGCTCTGGGGAATACAATCATTGCAACAGTGGTTGCCCAACCAACTCTTCGAAACTCTCTGGTGTTTCCACATGTCCTTTTCAGGAATGGGACAGGTGCAATGACCAGATACGTTGGAATAAAACCGCGTCTTTCCTTTCTTGCTACTTCCGCGATCCATCCGGTGCAAGCTCTCAAAATATACTCAAGGGTTTGAGTAACCATCACTTCATCCATCACTATAGGCAAGTCTTAGATACATATGCTATGAGATTCGACTAACATCAATATTACCAGGAACATCAGTTTGCCAGTCAACGAGTTCAGACCGCAGAACAGATATCTAGAACTAGTTGGCTTGTACGTTGAGACTGCGTCGTGTCCTAGAAAATGCCTCTGTGTATTTCTGAGTATCCTCTTTTCTGTACTAATCGGTGGAAAACTTCTTAGGGTCAGCTGGGAGGGAAAATTCGGCGCTGGAAGCTTCATCGTCGCTTTGCTGATGTTGATATTGACAGTACTTAGTTGGTATGATGTCTGACAGATAGAAAAAGCGATTAACGCAATAGTGTAAGACTTTTACGATTCTCGCTGTGGAACTGCATCATTCCGGAGGTGCATAATATTACAGATAACCTCTAAGGCGTTTGCATTGTCGTTTAGCATGAGAATCTCCTTAGGATCATCACTATTCAGATCTTTTCCTTTCGAACTGTGGTCCAAACATAGTCCTGAAATATGTCGATGTGTTCTTGAGAATAAGGAGCAGACCCGGATCTTCTTGCTGTGTGGGCCGACCACAAGAACAACGTCGCCGTTTGTAGCAATCTCTGTTCGCGCGATTAAGGAGTCATTGCTGCTCTCGGTAGCTTTCATGGTCCTTACAGGGTACGCAAAAACGATAAACGTCCGTGTGAACTTCGATTAATGACACGCTTACAACAGCTGAAGTCTGAGTAGGCTGAACTCTGTAGAAATATTCGCGAAATTAATCTTCTGTCAGAAGACAGGTGTTCCAAACTCGCGGAGGGGGTATTTATTGTCAACTAAACCAATTGATGGCTGCATCCCGGAAATACTTCTTCTAGATTGAGTAGTTATATGATAGCTACGTTCATAGTGCCTATAGTACCCTAAGTTACATGGGGTTAAATTACCATAAGGGTGTACAATACACGCAATGTCCGCGGGCGTTTGGTGGGCCCTGTGGGGGCGGGCGCTTGGTGGCGAGTCACGCTATTTCCCCTCAAATAAGTCTCCAATAATTGGCCTCATCATCGCCATTGCGAATGCTCATATCGTAGCAACGAGAATGGCATATGTTAATGGAGCAGAGGTCGCAAGGCATGCCGACAAGAACAGCTGCTGGATTGTGGTAGAAACTAAGGCCTATGATGTCACCAGTTTCTTGTCGAAACATCCCGGTGGCGCTGCGATAATATTGCGCAATGCCGGTACAGTGAGTCGAAGTATTCGAATCAGAATGAGAGTCTTACTAAATGAGTGAAGGATGCGACAAAAGAGTACAAGAAATATCACCCGCTGGATTATCTCAAGGAAAATCTGCCAGCCGATGCAGATCTCGGACCTGTAGACCCTAACACATTTGGAAACCTGCGACAGCCAACACCAGAAACAACAACAGAGCCGTCGGACGCCGAATCATCAAATGAGATTCCTCATGTTAGTCTTTGTGTCTCAACAACAGACTTCGAAAAGGCGGCAAAAGTAGCTCTGCCACACAAGTCATACGTCTACGCCTCAGGATCAGCAAACACAGGCGCATCGCTCAGAGGAAATCTCGATGACTGGGAACGCATCAATTTCCGTCCGCGGGTGATGCGCAATGTTGGTGATGTAGACACACGCCGCAAAATCTTTGGTCATGAATCGCCGCACCCGTTCTACATCTCACCTATGGGAACGATGGGCGCTATACATCCTGGCGCAGAGCCTGAGCTCATGGTCGGTGCCGTTCGTAAGGGTGTGCATGTAGTCGTGAGCACAGCGAGTACGAAGAGTAGCAAACAGATCATGCAAAGCTATGTGGACGAGCAGGCAAGACTCAATAACGGTAGTCCGACACAACTGTTCTTCCAGTTTTACATGCCGGTGAATAGGAAGAAAGCGATTGAGCTCATGCATATTGCACAGAACGCTGGCTACAAGGGGCTTTGGATCACTGTCGATACACCGGTACTTGGAAAGCGTACTGCAGATCGGTTCCTTCAGGCTGAGGAGGCTCTAGCGGTTGGTATTGAAGAGCAGAGTACCGATGGTTTCGAGGCTGGTGGCGACAACGACTTCGCACCTGCGATGGGTGGTCGGCCAGTCCAAGGTCAGATGAGTCCGCATACCACGTGGGAGGATCTCCAGTGGATTCGCAAAGAGTGGAAAGGTCCTATCGTGCTCAAGGGTGTCCAGTGCGCGGAAGATGCGAAGCTGGCAATGGAGTACGGCTGTGATGGCATACTGCTGAGCAACCACGGTGGGCGACAGCTACACACTGCGCCCAGTGCGCTCATGACCCTTTTGGAGATCCGCACGTACTCACCAGAAGTAATTGGTAAACTGGAGATCTTCGTGGATGGCGGACTGAGGGACGGGAACGACGTCATGAAAGCGCTTTGCTTGGGAGCAACGGCAGTTGGTGTTGGAAGGCCATTCCTGTATGCGCTTGGAGCATATGGGACGAAAGGTGTTGAGCGATGTGTCGATAGTAAGTGTAGACAATTAATCCGAGTGAAGAGCGTGACTAACATCCAACAGTCCTTGCAGAGGAACTTCAGACTGGTATGCGGTTGCTGGGGATCACTTCGCTTGATCAGTGCAGACCAGAGATGGTTAATGCCAGCCGCTTGCTGAATGAGATGTGGAGACCTGAGCCATTGAGCCTCAGAAGTAAGCTATGATGATAGTCTCCCAATGCGCAAAGGCCTGTCCGCAGGGTAGTTGTCGAGAAGATACCTTGCTTGGTGCTAATTGAATGTACACATCTCTATGCAAAACGGTTATGGGCCAACGAACCTGACATGCTCGAACTGGCCTATCAATCTCGCATTGTATTTTACAATTTCAGATCGATTGATGGAGCCGATGATCGCCGGTCAAATTGCAAAAATTCTCGTACCCCTCACCCGCCCCTCACCCGCCCTCAACCCCCTTTATGACAATCAAAAAATCAAGATTATATTATAACAACTGCCCCAAATCGTCATCAACATCCTTAGAGGTGAGATGGCCGAGTTGGTTATGGCGCCAGGTTAAGGTTATCTTAACACATTATTCCTGGTCACGAAAGTGGCGCGGGTTCGAGTCCCGTTCTCATCAGCATTCGTCTGGCTCTGTCAGGTATCCCAGGATCTTTTTTTTCGCTGCGGTGGTGGCTTGGGAGGTGTAGACGTTTGGGACCAGGTCGCAACATATCGCGCGCGCCATTGTGTATTAAAAACCTTTACACTCTAGTATGGCATTTCAGAACACTATTTAAATAGTGCTACAATTTTTGGATCCTTAACTTGAACGACGAGTCGCCATGTGCGCTGTCGCGGGATATACGGATGCGGTCAGTTGCATTATTAATTGATTGTTTATTTGCGTAGGTTTTTATATAGTGCTTGGACTAGAGATAATCCCAAACCAGTATACAAATGCGCTATGAATATCCAGGGGCACAATACATTGAGTTGCGAGTAATTGTTGAGAGCGGACATCGCTGCAGTTGATACCTTGTGGCCGCCGCAACTCATCTATACTCAGGTCAACTTGGAGACGCTAGTGGTCGTTGCGATACTTTTGAACCACTTGCCGTTTTGAGTGACATTGAATACTACATATGGTGTGACGTGCGATGATTCTGCTTCGGTACGATGGTTTTCGAGTTTCATGCCAGACAGATCTCACACGGGAGCCAGATTATTTTGTAATACCCATCAAATGCCTTGGATACATTGGAGAATGTAGGCATCGAAGCTTGCCCTATGTCTTCTTCTTCCCAGTTGCTCTTGTCTTGAAATGTCCCATGGCAGAATATTATGTATTGATCAGGATTACACAAACTGTTAGATGTCTGCCAATTGTGAACGAACATACGCATGCTAATCAAAGCATAGAGCAAACCAAAAATCAGCTATGAATACCCTCACAGCACATATCAACCTTCTATTTATCTTACATTCTTCAATGAACCTTTCACCGTGAACGACACAATGAATACCAGCGACACTCCGTCTGCCATGGCAACTGTACCTAGCTCGTCCACCAATGAGCCACACACCTCACACCCTGCACCGCCTCCATCCGTACTCAAAGCCTCTCAAACTCAGCTCATGAAGCAAATACTAGACCTCGACGGCCGCATGAACGAGTTGTCGCAGGAAAATCAGATCGTCCATGACGCCCTCATCGACTACGCTGAAGAAGATGAAGGAGTCATAGAACTGGCAACACAGCTCACGCAGATAACTTCTGATTTAACGCACTGTGATGTTGAGAAGGGGAAGCTCATCCAGCAACTCAAAAGAGAGATGAGCCGGCTAGAGACGCTAGCAGGATATGCAGAGGAAAAGGGCAATCTGGCGGAAAGGCAAATGCGCGAGATAAAAGAAAAACTCCAAAATGTCACATTTGTGACTATGAGCTGGGAGCGGGAAGGTAGTTCGTGAATGCTATCCGGACAAGTAGTCATGAGCGAGATCGAATTTGGTCGATGTCGTACCTCTCTAACTCCAAATGAAACCGTTATAACAAGAATCCAACGCTTGATGAATTTTGTCACTAATCAATATCGTTCTAGCTCAGCTTTAGGCCCTGTGACGCGCTCCGTTTCTGACTGAATCATGTACATCTCGATCAGACTGACAACGCGCTGGCCCTCATCTCATGGTCCATACTCTCTCCACTCACTTTTCGGCACCATGGGATAGCTATCTTCCATACTGCCCGCCTCAGGCTGACCACTCAGCTTCTTGTACGCAACAAGTGTGGCGCCAAGATGGTAGATGCAAAATACAATCGCAACATGAGCGTCGCGTCGAAAATATTACATCTCCTTCTACATCAAGACGCCATCGCTGCCTTGCGCATACTTCATCATTCGAAACAGCGAGCGTACCAGGATGAGTACGCTAGCAAAGTACAGTACCCAGAGTGATCGCCTCCATGGAGCGGAGGTCGCAAGGGAGGTGGCGGTTGGGCGTCTGTTAATGCGAGTGTGGAACACGACGGTGACGATCATGAAGAAGGCGAAGAAGACGACCTGGATACCGAGACCGGAGAGGATGATGTTATTGCCTAGATCCTGCGCAGCTTTGTCCTTCGCCGTAGCTGGCATGCCGCCACCTCCGCTCTGGCTAAGAAAGGAGAGGATGTCGCCCAGTAGAAACACCTTTGTGAGCCATGTTGTGCGGATCATGGAGTGTTCTTCTGCTTCGAGGAGGCGGATGAGGCGCCCGAGCACCATGTAAATCGACGCCGCGAAGAATGTCGGACCCAGGAGATGAGGACGGTGAATACGAAAATGAACGCGAGTGCTAGTGAAGCTGATGGCCATGACGATAACGTTGTTGCGGTTTTTATACTGCTTCACGCGAGGCTGAGTTTGCCACTGATGCAACACACTCTTCATCACCACGACTTCCGGCGTATAGACGTGTGTTTACCATGAAGATACTAACGTTATCCAGATGTTTAAATGAAAACCATGTGCGAGTATACACACAATCTAAGCATATCGTGTGCGCGGTCCATGTAGTGCTGCGTGCCTTTGTACCGGATACGCGTATAGAGATCCTGCGCCAAGGGGGAACGTGGGATCACCCGTCAGGTACCAGCACCGCCGCCTTGGATATAACAGACATGAGCAATGCTCAGCCCGGAATTCGGTACCACGACAGTCCGATATTTGCTGATAGTTCACATAAGCGCAATATGCTCATGTACCACACATTCTAGGTGCGCAAAGACCTTCATCAACGCTCACCATACACCAACTACTACCTGCGGCTGACACGACTGATGGAGTGCTGATGATGCTTGATGGCACCAAAGGATCTTTTCTGTGTCTTGCAAACTTTTGAGTCTTCATTATGAAATGAATAATATAGGCAGGTCGTCTTCGTCTGCTAAGATTTTGTAAGTACGGATATATACTTTCATACGTACTTAGTCTGCTCCCTTGGGAGTGACCAGCCACCTGATTGTGGCTGCTTGTGTCACGCCAGTGTGACAGCCGTGTCAGTAGATCGAGAACGCAAATGAGGCTCCCTATCGCCACCAAAGCAGTAGCCTTCACCGACTCCGCATAGGGATTGTGCTCGTGATCGTACGGCTACTATCAGCAGTAAGTTTTATGGCTCCTTCGTCGGATGCGCGTGCATGTGATACTGTAGCCTGCAGGCATAGAGCAAAAACCAACTGGCGACGACCTTCGTCATCACGATGCCTTGACTTCTGAAGATGGTTAAGAGGGAGAGAAAGTTATCTTGGGGGGCCGGGAACAATCACGCGCTAACGGGCTAGCGTTCCACGTGCAGCTTACGTAAACCTTCATCATTCACTCGCATTGTGGAAGCCTACGCTCGTCTAGGTAGAGCAAGCTCATTCAAGCCACTAAATTTGGAATCCTTTCGTAGCTCGAGACTAAGACAAGCACTCCAAGTGTGGCGTTGACCTCAACCACTCTGAAATGCAGTGTGGTGATTCCAAAATCTCTTACAAATCAATTAGCAGGTATTTCGGTGTCTTTCTTGGCAATTTCTCTTTGAGGTAGCGACCATTGCTACTACCAGATGACGGAGACGATAAGTAGGTAGCCTGCTGCAGCGTCCAGCCTCGGCGCGAAGCTTGTCGCATGATCGATTTGTTTGGGAGCCGGCCGTGCCGCCCAACGATAACGCACGGGGGGCTGGCTGTAGGGCTGATGGAAGGTTCTTTGCATCCTTCCACTCGTCAGCCGCAGGGTCCAGTCCCCACTCTTTTCCCACCGCCTTCTCAGCGACGTGGTTTTGGTGTACTGTGGTAGAATGGATAAGTACTCCCGGTGGGGCGCCCAGCCGCACCGTGCATGCGGAGATTGAAAGCACTGTAGTCCTATATATTACATGCAAATCCACACTATTTGTATGGTAAAATATGTAGCCCCTAAGCCATAGATGCTGGGCTCTCTGCCCAGCACAGCTAGCAGTTATCCTTTACCTTAACCACCTTAACTACCTCATCTCATCCCATCTTAAAATGCCGCTTTCTCTATTACAACGCAAACGCGCACCTTACTAATATCTCACACGCAATAAACGCCTTATTATTAGAGCACTACGCGACGTAGGCTATATACAACAGTTTATAGCTAATTATATAGAGTGTACTATTGTAACAAAGCTATATTCTATTATAACAACAACCTTTAGCTATAGGAGCCCTTTTATAAGCTACCTCTATCTTTCTTTATATAAGCTTATTAAAGATAGAAGACTATACTAACCTCTACTTAAACTACCTCTATACTATACCTAGTCTAGATTCTATAAGAATCTCTACTCTACTATTACCTACGTGCTAATATAGTAGAGAAAAGAAAAGAACTCTATAGAGGCCTAGAACTACTACTAAGTTCTACTCTATATAGCTTACTTTTTTAATAGAACTATAGAAGTATAATTTTTTTATCTTTTTATATAAAGCTTATAAAAATATAATTTATTTAACTTTTTAATCTACGCGTACTTTTATATACTTTTAAAGTAGATTTAAACACTTTTTAGCACTTTATATTTTTAAGCTATTATATTATAAAAAAATTATCTTTTTACTAGTAATAGCCTATATAATATTACTAATTTATTTAAAAGAATTACTTAAATTTTTTAGTTAACTAGTCTCTAAAACCTCTTTAGTTCTAGCTCTAATTAACGCTAATAGATCTATTAATAATTCTAAAACTAGATTTTAAAGATCTCTAGTTAACTAAAGCCTATAAGTTTAAATTTCTGTAGTATTACTAGCTTAGATTACTTTTAAAAAAGTTACGTTAAATAGCGCTAAAGTAGAGATTTAAAGACTACTAATAATCTAGCAGAATTAAAGGCAAAGCTAATACCTATCTTTATTAATAGATAATAAATTCTACTTTTTAAAAAATAAAAGAAAATAACTAGTTTTTTTAAAAGGCCTATAAATTTATTAAATATTTAAAATATAGAAAATAACTAATACTAGCTAATTAGAGGATAACTAGAGTTAAATAAAAGCTAGACCTACTTTAGTAGAACCTAGAAATCTACTAACTATAACTTTTAATAACGCTATAGAAATAATAGCCTAGCTACGCGCTA